AAAAACTAATTGTACAATATAATCACAATTTTAAACGGGCAGATTGCTCTGCATGAACAGTTGAGCACACATTTTTTTCCATTTTTCGTTTTTACCGAAATTTAAATCATAAAAGTACTGTTTGAGAGTGACCATTCGGTTCGATCGTCTCATCCGAGGTAGTGACCGTAACCATTGATGTTCTGAAGAAGTGTACGCGACCGTGGTGCTAAAGCTCAATCGGTACCCTCTGAAAGTTACGAAAGATGACCAAAAACACTACTCGCCAAAAAACGCAAAAGGAGAAAAAATTTAACACGTAAAGTATAGGAAAAGGGTTCACGAAAACAGCTGTATCTCAGGGCAATATCAACATTTTGGAATTTCAAAAAATGCAATGGAAAGGGACGGAAAAATCCTACTCAATAATGCAATAAAAAAATTTTCGAGTTTAAGATGTATGTGTTCCCTTAAACTGTTATAGGAGAACGTCGAATTTTGATTAAGTTCGTTTGCCTTCGAACGGTAGCCCTGAGAAGGCTAAAAACCGAAAGGAGTTTTAAGAGTTTACACTCTTGTTACTCCAAGACGGTTTGAATTGAACTTTTACAGAAGTTCGTTTGCTTTCGAACAGTAGCCCTGAGAAGGCTAGTAACCGAAAAGAGTTTAGGAGTTTACACTCTGCCACTGCTAAGACGGTTTGAATTGAACTTTTACAAAAGTTCGTCAGCTTTCGAACGGTAGCCTTGAAAAGGCTGGAAACCGAAAAGAATTGCAGAGTTCGCACTCTACAATTGACAAGTCAGTTAGCCTCGATCTTTAGCAAAAGTTCGAGGTCTTTCGAAATCCTACGTGAGATGGTCCTGAAAAGGACCGGGGCCGAGTTGGCGTGTACAAGTTCCAAATTGTTTAGTTGGTGAGTGATGTGGATCGAGTGGTAGCCGAGATCCGATGTTGTTCCGGAGTCAACTCTGCAACAGAAGGTTGGAAACCCCGTCGAGCTCGTAGACTTGGCTGCGGCGACTCTGCGATGAATTTGTCTTGGCCTTGCTGGTCAGTTGCGGCCGGAAAGTCCAGGCCGCACTCGCTGAATTGGAAAGATCGAGGCTCGAAGTAGCCGATACTTAAGCCCTGGCGGGGATAAGTAGCTTGTGGGTGCCGACGCTGCGCCACCTAGCGGTCGCTAGTGAAGCTTCTCAGCGCAAGAAGTGGGAAGGAGGCTTGGAGAGGAGCGAGAAATAATAAGTTTGAGTATATGTGTATAACTCAGGTTTATTAACGTTCCCTAGGCCAAGCTCTCGTGGCGAGCAAGATCCGACTCCGGAAAGTCCAGGAGTGGAACTGCGTGCCGAATCGAATCGGCGCTGTCTTTTATACCGCTGGCCGGTCGGCGCGCGAGCCGGCAGCGGCCAAGTGGCGGAGTGGGGATACGCACGCAGGAGTCTCGTGTCGTTGGCGTATATCAAAACTATTGCTTCTATCCGATGTAGACCTCATTGTCAACAAGTAATTTAAAAATACTTCATTGAGAATTACATGAATAATTTTTTTTTTTTACTCGAGTATTAATCTACAATCTGTTGTGAGACAATAAGTAAGATTTTTTTACATTTAATAGCGATGATTACATGTTATAAATATTTTTCTATCTCGCTTGCAACTGAGGAAATTTTTAAATCGTTTCTAATAATTTCGTTTGTAACAAACCAAGGTTCGTCCACCATTTGTCTTGGCTTGAAATCTCTCAACTATATCGATGTTCGATTAAGATGCGAGATCCCAAAGTTGAATGCCGTAGGTCCAAACAGGCTTGAGTATGGATTTGTAGACGAGAATCTTATTTTCAAGTGATAACTGTGAGTTCCTGCCCAAGAGCCAGTACATACTTCTCAGTTTCAAGTCCAGTTGTTTTCGCTTTGTCCAAATATTACTTCTCCAAGTGAGCCTTTTGTCCAAGTGCATGCCCAGATATTTTGTTTTGTCACGTTAGGCGATCAAGGTATCGTTTATAGATACAGGTGGACTGTTTTCTTTGCAAAGAGTGAAAGTGACACGCACTGACTTTCCCTCATTTACATGGATTCTCCATGTTTTGAACCAGTTTTGTAAATAAGATAGATAGTTTTGAAGCCTCAGTGTCGCTGTGTGTACATTTTTGTGCGTTGCGAGAGTAGCGGTATCGTCCGCGTAAGTTGCTACCGTTATACCGGGAATTTCGGGAATGTCAGCTGTATACAGCAGATACAGCGTAGGGCCTAAGATACTACCCTGAGGAATTTCTGCATTTATGGGACACAAACTTGATACTTCTTCATTGTACTTACAAGGAAGGCTCTGTCCCTTAGGTACGACTGCAGCAGCTTATTCAAGCCACTGTATAACGTTATTTCCAGTTTGTGCAGCAACTCTGCGTTCCACACCTTGTCGAGAGCATGTGAGACATCCAAGAATACCTGCTCTTTTTCTCCAGTGCACCCTGGATTGTTGCAGTGATACGGTTTACTCGCTCGATCGTGGAGTATTGACTTTTGAAGCCAAATTGATGATTCGGAATTAATTTTTTTGATTTAATAATTGAGTACAACCTGGCCAAGATTATTTTTTCCAAAAGTTTGGAAAAGACTGGCAAGAGGCTAATTGGTCTGTAGGATGTTACCTCTTCAATGCTTTTTCCTGGTTTTGGGATAAGAATGATCTGTGCCGCTTTCCACTGTGAAGGGAAGTAGTACAGCTGGATGCTCGCATTTATTGTAATAATAAGGAATCTTACTGCTACGAAAGGGAGCTCTTTAATTAATCTGTCAGTGATGCTGTCATGTCCTGGGGCTTTTTTCTGTTTTATATTTATTATTATACCTTACTATATATTTATTATATATTCTTATAACACGACCTCTTTTAGTGTTGCCACTTGTATATTGTTGTTGCACTGTTCAGCGCGTTGTGGGCAGTTCCAGCTCCGATCCTTCCCGGAGATCACTCTATCATTGGGCTTGAATACTTCAGTAAGGTGGATCGCGATGGTGCCTGGCCTTTTCCGCATCTGTTCTCGCCCAGTCAACGGATGGTTTTTTAATTGGCGGGTTGAACTTTTCAGGTCTCTCTAGGGAGCGAGTGGCTTTCCATAATGAATAGTCAGTATTTTCCATTGCAGTAAGGTTGAATAGGTATTGTGCGACGGCAGTGTTTCTCTCCATAACAAGCATCTCTTTTAGTTCCTTCATGGCCTTATTGAGTCCCAGTTTGTCGTAAGGTGATCTTGAATTTCACCAAATTGTCCTGAGTTTTCGTTTTTGTTCAATTTCGAGTTTGATATTATTTGGAATGTACATTGGATTCGGTTTGTCTTTAACTTTTGTGTTGCTTTGGTTTATTGCACACTCAATACTATTATACAGAGTTTTTACTCCTGTTTCAATATCTGTTGTTTTTAAAGGAATATTTCACATTGTGTGATTTCTCAAGTGCTCTTGAAATTTTACCCAGTCGATTTTTTGAGAAGTTTTTGTATTAATTAGTATCTGCGAGTGGTAATTTATAAGGATAGGTGAATGGTCAGATGACAGATCAAGACACGTGTTCGCTATGAAATACTTCTAATTAATTCCCTTGGCTATTGCGAAACCAATTAAGTCCGGCAATTTATTTCTGTCAGTAGGCCAGTATGTTGGTTCTCTAGTCGAGATAGAAAATAGATTATTGACACGCATCGCCTCGTACAGCTGTCTGCCTCTCGGTGACAGCGTCACTGATCTTGAGCCCCACCATCGATGTTTAGCGTTAAAATCACCACCGGCGATAAATCGGTGGCCGAGGGATTGGAAAAATGCCGAAAAACTGTCCCGAGGAATCGCAAAACCAGGTGGACAATAAACGGCAGATACTGTCACTGTCCATGTCGGTCTACAATTGTGACATTCGTTGCTTGTAGGTAGTCCTCGCAGAATTTCACGTTTACGAAGTGCCTTATTTGCTTTTTGATTATGACAACTGTTTCACCATGAACGCTGCTATCTGGGCGGTTAGTTTTATAAATACAGTAGTTAGGAATTTTAATATTTTTTTTAGCTGTGAGCCGGTCGCTGAGATAAGAATGATATTAATATCATGCTGGATCAAGAAAACTTTGAGTTCTAAACATGTACGATTTAGACCATTTGCGTTCCATAACGATATTTTTAGTTCGCTTGACATGATAATTTACTTAACAGCGCTGTTATTAGATTTAGCATAGAGTCAATTTTTGACATAAGATTTTCAATCATGTGTTCTTGTTTATTTTTGCTACGAACATGGTCAACTGATTCTTCGTCGCTCCATTGTTGTGTATCTATTTGTTGGTGTGCTTGTGTTTGACTATTTGCTGCCTGCGCGTATAATATATTAGGTCTAGTATTACTACCAGAGAATACTCTGGACCCGTGAGGGTCCACATTTTGATGTATCAGACTTTTTGGATGTTGTTTTATTATCGAATTCCTGGAATTGAGGTTTCTCCGTTCTCGGAAGGAGGTAATCGAAATACAACATAATCACAATTCACAAGTTAAGTTCGTTATTTATTGTTTGTATCATTAACACACTTGAACAGCATAAAAAACACAGAGTACGTGATCTCTGCTCTCGACCTCGGTCAGTGAGCGAATGAGCCCGAGCGCTCGGCCGCGCCGGCTTACATAGCCGCTTGCGGACATGCGCAGTGGCCTCGGCGCAGTAGCGCGCGCGCTCGATTCAAATTTAAATCATACAGATGTGTAGTCGGATATAGCTTAAGCTGCAATTCCTTGCGAACTGGGCAGGCCTTATAGCTTGCTGTTTGATTACCTTCGCAATTGGCACAGATAACTTGATTTGTTTTATTTTTTATAGGGTAATTTATTGAAAGGTGATTTTTAGCACATTTCACGCATCATAAATAATCAATGAATAATTTGATAGGTGCATGGGTAGGTCTCATAATAAAACAACAACCAACAATTAATTATTAATTTAAAAAATATTTCTATTTTATTTGGAACTATTAATTTTAATATTTATTTTACAATATTGTGCAAGCATTATAAATTTCTAAATCAATATCATTGAGTGAACCATTTTTTATTTGTCTCGACTTACAAGAAAAGTAATTATTTTTATTTTTTTCTGTCCACCACAAAGGTAACTGAGAATTCCAATTCTCAGGTGCATTTGATCTCTTGTTCCATACTCTATTTCTAAAGTGGTTTTGAAACCGATTCAATTTTCTTTGTTTTTCACTTTCAATTAAAGCAGCCTGAAAAGCGATATTTCAATTAATATTAAAAATCTGTTTTGAAAAGAATCTTTTATAAAAAATAATTTTCTTATATAAGAAAACTTGCAACGTTTTCTTTACATATATCATAAATATACACTTTGGACAGCGAACGAGTAGCGCACGCGCATATTAATATTGGGTCTTAAAATCGAACATTTTTCATGGAGGGTTGCTAAAGTTAGCACTCCAAAAAAAAAACATTCGTTTTCAGTTTTGAGATTAATATGAATCGTTTGCGCGTCAAAAGTTGTAAAAAATGTCAAATTTTCACGTTTGCATATCTCAAAATACGGGAAATAAATGAAAAATTTTCAAATGGGTGCTAGAATTTCGGCACCTAAAATAAAATTCACTGATATCCGTCAAAACTGCTATGATGACCACGAAATAATTTTTATCACTGCTGGACATGGAAATATCAAAAAAACTTATGTTTAAGTGTAAATATCCATACTTATAATGGCACGCAGATGCAAAATATCAGTTTGAGGGTATAATGTTTGACTGATTCTTAAAATTAGACGCTTGACGACATGGACTTTTCAATTACATACAGGACGGGACATCAAAAACAAGCTTTTCGTTACAATCATCCACAGGTGTCCTCAAGCCAAAAAACGTTCGTCCCCGATGGAAAAAATTCTGCGCACACTACTCGATTTCTGAAAACTTACAATTAACGAATATGAAAAAATTAAAATCGAAACTTTTTCTTCTTGCGAGCCAGCATAAAAAGTGACTAAATGAAAAATTCATTTATTCGACAGACATATAAAAAAAGTTCAGTTTCAATAAGCGGATCTAGTAAATGTTATCTTTTTGAGGATGCTGAATCTAAATTCAAAATCAAATGTCCTCCATCAGCTCATTTTCACGGTTAAGGAGGCTGTAGCGAAAATCAAAAAAACTTTAGATCGAAATGAAATTTTGACCGATGATAGTTTATGAAATTACAAGATTATTGGTAAAAAAAAATTGGGGTTTCCATGCAAACTTGGGAAATAATAAGATTCAAAGTTTTGGCTATTTAACATTAGATCTTATGAGAAGTGTCAGTTTTTAGTATACTGTGAGCTCAAATCACTTTACAATTTAATGGCATTAATATATGTTATAGGAAATTTTATTTGCTTTCGAATGATATAATTAGGGGAAGGGGGGACTCAGTCGGGCATGCAAGGCATCTCAATTAAGGGCTAACAGGGGGCTTAAATCTATATTTTCTTAAAATTGCTGACACATGAAATTTTATGAAAATTGACTCTCACCAATAAAACTGGTGATTTTTCATACCTTTGAAAACATGTTTTCATACTCATATTAGAGGTATGTGCTTATGGTATACGTACAGCTCCTATCGAGTAGATTACTGTTCTAAAAAATTAGAATGAGGTTTGTCGTAGAATTACCAGAGTATCATTTAATGAACTCACTCCAAACTTTTTCTTCTTCTTCAGTGCATGTGTGATCACGGTCGCAACCACTATCCAAGCGATACTTACACTCCTGTTGATTCTATATAAGGATTACTATCTGCAAAGGATTAATTTTATATAATTTTATATGGTACTTTTTACTTAAATAGTGAAATAGCACTTTCTAATGCTCCAATCACTTGGATAGTGGTTGCAACCATGTTCACACATGTACTGAAGAAGTGTATAAAATTTAACGTCAATTCATTAAACGGTTCTCTGGGAATTTTACGACAACCAGCTTAAAATTGATTAAATTTATTAAATTCCTAACTGCTGAGAATAAGCAAAAGAAACAAAAATTCTTAAATTTGTTTAAAACATATTGATTCAATTAGTTGTACATATAGCTTCTAGTCTGCACATAATCACAAGTATTCCCAAGTATTTTTATCTATTGTATAATTTTCTCCATAAGGTTTCTTTAGACTTATTTTACTGTAAACTTTTGCATCACCATCACTAATATAATTTTTATATTTGACACTATGTTTGGCTTCTGATCTTTCAAATAATTCCATTAACTTCCATGGCACCAGAACTACCTTCATGATTAACATCACATACTAATTTATGATTTTCAAACCATTCAATATACTCAGCTGAATCCTTGTCTTTTTTTCCCAGGTACTACATTGTTTGAAGAATTTATTTTTGACAACTATATCAACTACTTTTCCTGATCTATTTCCAATAAGGAGTGCAGCTCCTTGCAGTGAAGAAAACCCAGGTGTGCGCCAAGTACCATCTCCTGACACAGTCAACTCATGACTTTTACTGAACTGAATTTCTTCGGTGGCAGCTTGGTGCATAAATTTTTCAGCAACACGTTCAGAAGCATTTTGCATGGTGTTGACAATCGAATCATATGTCTTCTGTTCCATTGCTTTGGATAAGTCTAATAATCCACAGAGGGTCTCAATTCCAGCTAATCCCCAGCCTAAGTTTCTCATTGCAAAACAATTCTTCTGTTTATCTCATACACATTTGTTTTAGGTCCTATTTTTTTTGATGATGTAATTGAAGGAGAACTGTCACACAAGTCGCACTCAATATTCACCATGAATCCAAGCCCACCAACTGAAGACTCGACAATGTTTATTCTTCCACCACAGTTACACTTTAAATTTTCCTGCAGAAATGGTAAAAATGTAGAAAAATCTATTAGACGATACTGTGCAGGTCCAGCTTCAAAATCACACGTTTGAATCTGCAATTTTGATGTCGAAGTAGACTTTTCATAGATTGCAGATTCTTCTGCAGATCTTTTCTTGGCATTGAGCAATTTTGGTGTAGGATTAGGTTCTGTGTACTCATTTCCTTTGAAAACTACATGTCTTACTCGACCAATAGATCTCTTTCTTTGTGGATTGCTTCTCAATCTCATTCTTCCAGATTCCATTATAAAATATTAAATAATCTAATTCTAATCTAACTATAAAATAATCTAAATAATTGAAATTAAAAACACTAATTGAATCTTTAAAACACCCTATTCTAATCAAAAACTAAGAAAAACTAATAATTATTATACACTAATGTAATATTTTATACTAATCTAACACTATACTTTAAAGCTAAGTAAATAAAAAAATCTAAAAACTGCAATGACAATAAACACTATTATTAAATTTAATCTACTCACTAAAAGTTATTATAAAAATAATTATTAAGATTTTAAACTAACCTCTAAGCAATAAACTAAATACTGTAATGATAGAAATAATGTAATTTTTCTTATTTTAAAAACGTACTACTAATTTTTAATTAATGCTAAAAACTACTATACGCTAAAAATAATTACTGTGAAACTATCAATAATATTAAACAATTGGAATACTGGAGAAGAAAAAGAGTAAAGAAAGCTATCGATTTGGAGACAATACTGTTAAAAAACGATTTTTGTAATGGAACATCGTTTGAATTAGTGGACTTCCGAATCGAATTCGCTAAATGGAGCGAATTTCTTAAATTTGAAAAAAATTCCCTAGGGCCGTAAAATAGCTCTATCCAGGGGACTCTTTCGATTTTTTAAATTTGGTAAACGGCGTTCGAAAGCTTGAAACATTTCCTACAAGAAAAGTGAAAAAAAAAATTTTCGATTTTTCAAACTTTTAAGCTCCCTATAGGCCCTTAATAACTAAAAAACATCATTTTCAGCATCAAATTTTACATGTAGAAACTGAAAATGTCAAAAACTATCAACGTCAGGCAAAATTGGCATAAAAAAATTTAATTTTCTTAAAAATTAATGAGTTCTAAACTATGGTATGCTTAAATAGCTCGGAGCACTTTTGTCGTAACAATCCGAGACTTTTCGGTTTAGATTTGTTGTTCAATCAAAGTAAATCCAACTTGTAGTTGAAGCTAAAAGCAACAATTTACTGTATTGCGAAATTAAAATATTTTTGTTTTTAATTAAGATATTCATGTTTTAAAAAGGCTTATTCTGGGACATGTGTTGCACTACAGGTGGGGCATGAGTAGCATACAAAATGCGCATTCGCATTTCATCGGATAAACAATTACCAAAAAAAAGGTTTCAAAAAAATGGATAGAAGAACAATTGGAAGAAGCTATGGACTACGCTCAGGATCAAAAATCAGTCTTGGACACTGCCAAAAGGTTTGGTATACCAAGATCAAATCTTGACAAAAAACTTAAACAACGAGATTCTCAAGATGTCTCTCAAGATCTCTCCAGTACTTACCAATATCAAGGTATTTATTCAAAGTTTACAAAGTATTTATTCAAGGTTTAAACAATATAATTCTAAATAATTATAATATAATCATTGTTAACCTCAAATTATTTAGTTTTTGATTCGAGGTGGCTTTAAAACAGTCTTCAGTGTAGAACAGGAAAATGCTCTACATCCGTACATTACAGACATGGAGAGTTGTTTGATGGGCTTATCATCTAAAGATATAAGAGTACTAGCTTTCCAATGGGCAGAAATACTCAAATTGAATCATCCATGAAGCATTAAAGAGGGTAAAAAAATTACTAATGACTTTCTAAAAAATTTTCGGACATAGCAAAGCTTAAAAACTACTTTTATGTATTATCTATTATTGTGTATTATCAGGTGCTGCTGGAACAGACTGGCTTAGAGGATTCATGGAACGCCATGATTTATCTAGTAGAAAAGCAGAGGCTACATCAACTGTAAGATCAAAAGGTTTTAACAAAGAAAATGTTGGAGAATTGTTTACTTTACTTAAAAAACTAAAGGACGAACACGGATTTAAAGATCAAAATATCTACAACTGTGATGAAACTGGGATCACAGTTAATCCAAAATCATTATTACGCGTTATTGCACCAAAAGGTAAACGACAAGTAGGTGGAAAAGTATCTTTAGATAGAGATGAAACAGTATCTGCCGAAATTTGCATGTCAGTGACAGGGAAATACATGCCTCTTATGCTTATATTTCCAAGAGCAAGGGAAAAACCAGAGTTTCTAAAAAATAAGATAAAAGTTCAAGTCAATCAAGTCTCAATTATAATAATGATGAAAATACATCAGAAAACACCAATGAAGCATCCACTTCTTCAACTACATTATCAAATGTAAAAGAGGGAAGTGGTGTAATGGGCAAAAAAAAACATGCTAATCAAGATCAAATTTCAGATTACAAAGCTACGCTACATAACTTACTTCAATTGCAATCTGATAAAATGCCTGGAAGTGCGCTTAATAAAGAAGTTGATAAAACAGCAACAAATGAACCTGGCATACAAATACCACTATCTTATGTTATACAAGCCAAACCGTTCATAAATTGCTTGAGTTCTATGTTATCTCAAGTAGAATCATCTAGTCCAATGCTAGTAAATAGTTCAAGTCTCCGAAAGATACAATTAAGTAGTCATAATTTATTGATAGAGACCTCAACTACTACCAATGTTATAAATAAGAAAATCTTACCAAAGACTTTACCTAAAAAGAGAAAAACTGAAAAGGCTGCTGTTATTACTGAAAACTCATACAATGAAAATTTGATTGATGCTGCTTCAAAAAAATTAAAAAAGAAAAGAAAGAAGTGATGGAAAACAAACAAAATAAGCCAGTTATTAAATCTATTGTTGATTTGAGTTCAAATTATCAAATCAGTAATTGAATCCAGTCACAAGATCCGTTTCGCTCCATTACTAATCATAATGGTATATTAAATTTTGAGCCTGCATTTATGCCACCTCAGACAAAATTTAACTTAATGCAAAAACAAACTGATGCAGTAACTCAATCACTAACTAACTATCAGCTGCAGTTCAAGGCGTAACTCCAACTGCACAATCAGAAAGAGAATCATTACCTGTTATGGTAATTGATCAAGCTCCAGTGGAAATAGATAGCTATCATAATATTGATGTATCATCACTTTCTATTTTTTTCACTTAAATTTGATTAAATAAATTTTAACTATTTTATATTAATATTATATAATATATTTTTATTTGTTTTATTTAATCTTTTACGTCATATTTAGTTTACGCCTATTCATTTTCATTTATAAGATATCATTCAAAATAAAAGACTATGCAGTTTGTCAAGTCAATGCAAACTGTAATCAAAGCTAAAACATAACCTGGAAACGTGCGCTTGCAGTTGACAAAAGTTCGTTTTCATGTGCTACTCGTGCCCCACTGTCCTGTCACTCTTACCCTCCTATGGGGCATGTGTGTCAACTTTAGATACCTTACTCACAACTTTATTTAAAAAATATTAATATTAAGGTAAATATTGAAAATATTAATATTAATATTAAGGTGTATATAAGCCCTTAATACAGAACCACCTTGCATCGCTACAGTCTCCTTCATCCAAGGTCAAACTTAAAGATTTCATTATAAAATACTGAGAAAAAATATCACATACACAAAAAAAAACTTCAGTTCCAGAGACCAGACCCAGTGGACTTTATGATTTTTGGGTCGCTGAATTCGAATCTGGCGTCGGTTTTTTTAAATCAGATCGGTTTGAGGTCATTTGAAGGTCATTTAAAAGTCAAATCATGAAAAAAAGTGTAAAAATCTGAAACATTTTTTTATGGGTTTTTGAGGATGCTGAATTAAAATCTCAAGTCAGATGACCTCTACAACCTCATCTTCAAGGTCATTCGAAGGTCAAATTTAGAGAATTCAATAAAAATCTGAAAAAAATCACATTTGTCTATAGAGGGTCGCTAAATCTCAATCAAAGTTCATGTTGACAATACCTGGTCATTATAAGATCCATTTAAGGTCATAAAAAGGTCAACAATTGATTTTTTTTTTTTTTTGGAATTCTCCAACGATCTGTTTAGGCAGTAATTATCTAACTTACAAATTTATGAGTATTGATTCTCCAAGATGGCTATGATACGATGATGATTTCAAGATTTAAAATTACCTTACTCACCTTAAAATTCTTCTACGTGAAAATTCTTCTACGCTAATTTCAAATCCGTGGAGTGAAAACATCTAAAGATGACTACAGGCAAACCCCGTTATTCGCGGATTCGGTATTCGCGATTTTCCGTATTCGCGGAATTTTGTTTCCGTATTCGCGGTTTCTTCGCTCAAAGTTAACCTTTTTTTCGCGCATAAATTTTTAAAAAAATTTAAAAAACTTTTTTTAAATTATGAATCGCCCTTTGAAGCGGAATAAAAAAGTGCAGAACTAGTTGAGAAAAATCAAGTGTCTGAAATTCAAGGTCATGAGCAAGAGCAAGTGATACGTGAAGCTGTTAACATTGCAAGAAGTTTTGGTGGAGAAGGTTTCAGTGACTTGCAAGAATCCGAGCTTCTTGATTTGGTAGCGTCAACTAAAGTTTTAAGCGTCGACGAAATTGATGCAATCGTGCAAAATACAGCAGCTGAAGAAGAAATGATTGCAGATGAAGAACCTGAGCCTTACTTACTTACTTACTGCGAAAGTAGTTGGAAATATTTTGGCTGATGCAGAGCGTCTCATTGAATTACGACCCAATCATGACTCGAAGCCTTCAATTTAGACAAGATATCGAAAAATCATTAGAGTGTTATAAAAACTTGTACAAAGATCTATTGCGCAGAGCAAAACAAAAAAGTTTGACTCAATATTTTACTACAAAATAAAAAAATATTGATCAAAACTTCAATTTTTTCTCATAAAAAATTTTTTTACTAATATGTATATTGACATTTCAGTCGGACGAGGAACCGAACCCCCCTTTTCCCATAAGAACAATGCTTCGGTATTCGCGGATTCGGTATTCGCGGTACTTTTTCGGAACCGAACCCCCGCGAATAACGGGGTTTGCCTGTATATTATAATCAAAGCCACAATGCAATTTGAATCGTACACAAAGTGAAAAAATTCAACCTCGACTAGGACGATTCAAATCTCGATATCATCGTCGTATCATAGCCATTGTGGAGAATAATTATTCATAAATTTATGTGTTTGATAATTACTGCCTAAACAGATCGTTGGAGAACCCAAAAAAAATCAATTATTATCTGTATAAAACGGCAGAATCGTGAACACGATTAAAATTATTTAATGAAAAGGTCATTTTATGGGTAAACCTTGTTAACTCCATAAAATAACGGAATGACGGAATGACCTTCATATGTGTCGAAAAACATGGTTTTTCTCTAGATTTCCTCTATTCTTGACTTATATCATGTTGAATAATGAAGTTTGTTTGTCTGCCAACTACCAAAATTTATCAGAAGTTGTATAGGTGTATCAATGAACATATTACAATATTGGCCATATCGCTGGATACGAACATGTTTATTTTTGCCACTGAGGCTGAAATTTAGAAATTAAGGTACTTGGAGTTTATGAATATGATTTTTGACATCAAATTTGAATTCCTCATCAAATTTTACATAAAAAATCATGTTTCAATAATTTTTTCATATTCACTCTTGGAAAGCAGAATAAAATATGCAAAATCAAATTATAACTCTGATCCAAGGGGGGGGGGGGGACAGTTGACGCGATATAGCTCATATACATATAGGCAGATATATACGAATGCGTGCGAATCTCCTTCTTCGAGTACTAACATCTATCGACTACTGCCAAGCAGTCTGCGTAAAGCCATCGAGCGAGATACACGTGTTCGAATATTACTTAATTAACGTTCTTTTGTTATTACTACAAAATAGTGTCTACAATACTTATTCTATTATCTAACATCATAAAATCTCTGATATAATAACACATATTAAACGCTATATTACTAGATAATATATCAAAGTATCTTACGTAAGCATTCGTATTTTGATAATTCATCCATAATTTGCAATTTTCATAATCTTCCTTCCAAGATGCGCAATCTTTGTAATCACCCTTGATAAAATATTGATGAACGCGGGCCCTTGGCCTTTCACATTCAAAGAACTCATCTTTATAAATTTCACATGGTCTTATCTGTAAAAAAAAAGCATCAAAACTTCAAATAATAATACAAAAAAAAAAAAAAATAAGTGCAGATTGAGCTCATATGCTAATATAGTTGGCTAGATAATGAATGATATTCTTTTATATTTTGTAGGGTAAATGATTATAATAAAAAAAAGGAAAAATATGATTGGACTAATTACAAAAAATTTTAAAAGTCTTTTTGAGAAATTTCTTATGAAAAGGAGCTTTATTTAAGATGTGAGAGTTGAGTCTGTGACAGCTTGCACCCATGGTGGCAGGCTAATGAACTGTAAGTGGTCAATGCCAGTAACAGTTACATCGATGAGCGCGTGTCGCACTCCCTCATACACTACTCACATGAGTAATTCTTCCTTACTTTTACAATCTAACAAACTCTAACTACGAAGTGGGATACCCTCGAAAATTATCCTAAAATCATAGGCAATTCAGGTATTGCCTAGGCATTTCGGGGTTGGCCTGAATTCGGGATTTTCCAGCAACATACAGAATGTTTCACATAAAGCGCACACATTGGTTTTTTCAAAATCGAAAATAGTAAAAGACATTATTGTCTATACAAAATTTATATCAAAATTAAGGAAAAAGTTTGCCCTTTTCAATGGAGTACCAAGATATGTGATAAGAAATAACAATAATGGATAGTTTTCGTTGAAAATGGGTCGAAAAAAAAATTTTTTTCGATCAGAGGTAAAAAAAAATTTATCAGAAAGCTAATTTTTTTCGACAACGTCTGCACATATTACATGCACAAAGAATCTCATAGATTTCCCGAAATAATTTTTTTTCCGACGTGAAAAAATAATTTTTTTCGCTACAGTGTTATGCTCAAGACGTCCTTAGCAACGGCGGCCAAGAGGGACACTTTCCATCACGCGCCTCTTTCTAATTATTGAAACTGATTAGGTGTTGTTGAAAAGTCGCGAGGAGTTACTTACGATTGCTGCGGAAGTTGTCTTTCGTCTTTCTAAAACGTTACAGCCCGATTCTAATTTTATACTCAACAAATTCAGAGACCTGACAAATTGGCGACTCTCTGATGGGCGGAACTTCGTATGTTCAACCACTGCAGAAGCTGTCTTCGGTCTTTCTAAGACGTTAAAGCCCGATTCTAATTTTTTTGAACGTATCCAGAGACCTAACGAATTAGCGACTCTCTGATTGGCGGAACGTCGGATGTTCAACTATGTAAAAGCTGTTTTTACAATATTCAGAGAATTTAAGAATAATTGAGAGACAGTCTCTGCACTCGTCAATCATAAAGCAGGTCGATTTTTAGAATCTCAGTCTCTTCGCTCTATCGACGCCTGAGCTCATGGATCGATTGCAATATTTGTATAATTTAAGAAAAATCGAGAGACAGTCTCTACACTCATCGCACGCATGGCTAGTCGATTTTGAGAATCTCAGTCGGTCGCTGTATCGCGCCTGCGCTCATGTTATTCTAACGAATAAGCGACTCTTTGATTGGTGGCATGTCGGATGTTGAACCAATGCAGAAGCTGTCTTTCGTCTTTTTCGCGTATCGCGAATGCAGTGATGCCAGAATATGCAACTTATGCCACAGAAAAGCGTGCCATAGATGTGAACTTATGCCACACAGTGCTATAAAAAATTTTTTTTTATTTTGCTCGGACCAAACGGAAAAGTGATCTATGTACCAAAAAAATAGTCCGTGCAAAATTTTAGCTCATATGAATTGAGATAACCCGTGCCACCAGTCGCTTGAAGGTTTTTAAATTGGATTTGAATTAATTTTTTCCGCTTCTTGACAGCAATATTCAAATGGCTCTGTAGCCGTCAATTTTTAAGCAAATCATAATCCAAACCCGTCAAATCAAAGGTCTTAAAAAGACCTTACATTTGCTTTTTTCAAAGTTTTGATTGCTTCAAAATTAACTGCCGTAGAGCCATTTGAATATTGCTAAAAAATGGAAAAAAAATCGCAATTTTTCTAGTTTTTTAATAGCTGAGGTTCACTAGGAGAAACACCAATTTTTCCTAAACTCCAGGGTATGGTTTCGTATGTAATAAGCTAAAAAATGGCGTAGGTTTTGACCGGAATATTGCATTCTAGCTCCGTATATAGGCATTTGAAATATAATTTTTTCGTTTTTTTTTTGCTTTCATCCGTCTAATGATCACGCGCTTTTTATTGTGAGGACTATCACAAAATATTGCAACATTTTCCAAATACTACTGATGATTAGAAGCATCTCAAGACCTTTTTTTAAGCCCTCTAACGCGCTTAAAGGTGCCTCAGAACTAAATCTACAGCCAAATTAAAAATTTAATCATTAACGAAATTGAAAAATAGAATCGCGGTTTCGAGATACCTTTACTAAAGTTTCCTTTAATTCCTACAAATCCCCAAAGAATTTTTAAAGCATCATGTTCGACGTATTTTTCGACGAGAAAACCAATGGTGACCTTAGATTTGACCTTGAACATAACCTCTAAGTTATATCAAACCAAAATTGATTTTTCGCTCGGTGACCCCCATTTTTTATTGCAGATTTGAAAAGAGCGGAAAATTTTACGTTCAAATACATCTTTAGTTTTTTTTTAAGGTTGTAGAATTATACAGGGTGCGGCAAAAGTATGGAGACACCTGAAAATTTCGCATAAGTGTAGAAAAAAAATCAAAAACCTCATAACCGACGTATTTTTCGACGAGGAATCGAATGGTGACCTTGAATTTGACCTTGAACATAACCTTCAAGCCCAACAGTGACCCAAAAATCGATTTTTTAAATGTAACCCCCATTTTTTATTGCAGATTTGAGACGAGCACAAAATTTCACGTCAAAATGTATGTTTTGTTTTTTTTTTCAAGGTCATTTTTAGGGCGTTACAGACGCAAATAAAACTCCAATTTAACCTAAAATTAAGTTCAAGTTAGGGCTTTTTTTCTAATTGTACTGCCTCCAAAATGACCTTAAAAAAAATAATAAAATACATATTTTCACGTAAAATTTTCCACTCTTTTCTATGGTGACTTTCAATTTAACCTTGGAGATAACCTATACGCTACGGCGAACCAAAAATCCATTATTCGCACGGTGACACCCATTTTTTATAACACATTTGAAAAGAGCACAAAATTTCACGTTTGACTATGTATTTTGTTTTTTTTTTTTTTTTTAAGGTCATTTAGGAGGCGGTACAATGAGAAAAAAAGCCCTTACTTGAACTTACTTTTAGGTTAAATTGGGGTTTTATTTGCGTCTGTAACGCCCTTAAAATGACCTTGAAAAAAAAAACAAAACATACTTTTTGACGTAAAATTTTGTACTCTTTTCAAATCTGCAGTAAAAAATGGGGGTTACATTTGAAAAATCGATTTTTGGGTCACTGGAGCTTGAAGGTTATGTTCAAGGTCAAATTCAAGGTCACCATTCGATTCCTCGTCGAAAAATACGTCGGTTATGAGGTTTTTGATTTTTTTTCTACGCTTGTTATGCGAAATTTTCGGATGTCTCCATACTTTTGCCGCACCCTGTATGTTCATGGTCACTTAAGGGCGATGTTGTACATTAAAAGACCTTTATATAACCTAGAATAATCTCATATAAGGAATGAATTAAAATGACCTTAAAATGCCGGCTATGCCGGCATGAGTGGATGTTTTTTCCGCACACTGTGAGCAAAAAGCTGGGCATGTGTTGCATACAAAATTTTATGCAATACTAAGCGAAAAATACTTTCATTTAAATGAGGCGGTTTACCGCACACCCGCGTCCAAAATGAGGCATTTTACCGCACACAAGTGTCAAAGACGCTTTTTTCGTCATACTATTGCATAAATAAAATTACATTCCAGGCAATATTAGATGGTTTCTGGCAAAAAAATCAATGAGCTTTATATGTATACTAGGGAGGCTCGGCCCCCCTGCTCGCTCCGCTCGCCAACCCCCCGATTAAGTTTAAAACTTAAATAAAAAAAATAATGATATTTTTAATAATAAAACGGTCAAGTATTTTATTGATGAAAAATTGAAAAAAAATAGTCTGTAGTAAAATACATTTTTGGCTATATTTATCTAGTCCGGGAGCGGGCTACCTTTCCGTAGAAAACTGTAGGTGGATGGTTAGAATAAGGTGTTATTATATACCAATAACCTATCATTAAGTATGGTAAAATTTAGAAGACACGACACACGCACAGGGGGTGAAACCCGTGGCCTTCTTCAAAATGATGCAAAGAAAGAAACATAGCCGCACACGCACTCACAGGTCCCCTTATCACCGGGAGTTTGATCCGCGGGTCACTTTAAAATCACAGCGTGACCGAGCTCCGAGAAGATCTGCCCAAATATGGGTAAATAGAACAACACAGTCTAGGTATTTTGTTTTTTAAATAATTTCGCATATAAAATTATTTATAACGCTGAAAATATGTATTGAATTGGCTATGTTTGATTGATATTAAGTAGGTATGTGAAGAATCCGTATTCACTAAGCCTAGAGAGTTGTATACTGCACATAAATTGCTTATTGACTCTTCAACAGTTTAGTCATACCTTATTTTTCGTTTCATTATTCGGGACGCTACAGTTAGAAAAAGGTCCTTACTTGAGCTTTATTTTTTAGGTTATATAGGAGTTTTATTTGAGTCGGTAGCGTTAAAATGACTTTGAAAAAAATTCAAAAGGCATATTCGAACGTGAAACTTTTTGCTCTTTTAATCTGCAACAAAAAAGAGGGTTCCTATTTGAATAATCGATAAAAGGTTCGCTGTAGCTTCGAGGTTATGTTTAAGGTCACCATTAGATTCTTTGTCAAAAAATAGATCAGACATGGGGTTTTTGATTTTTTCATTAAGCTTGCTGTCCGAGATTTCCATATTTTAGTGACACCCTGCATATTGCATGAAACATAACTGACAATAATTGATATTATATGAAACAATTCAATGAATATTGTCAGTGTTACAAATGATTTCAAATGCAAAATTATTTGAAAATAAAAATACCTAAACTGACATT